TTTTTGACAGTTTGTTTATAATTAAATAGCGGAATAACTAACTGCACCAGAGGGACGTGGATGAATGGGGATTATGAGAATATGCAGAATAGTGAGCAGGTATATGCAATGTCATTCCTTTTCTGCTCATCATCTAATTCTATCCCTGCCCATATTAATGTCTTTCGCTGCCAGCTGCGTGGTGTTTAAATGAGCAGATGTGCTGTAAAACATGCCTGCATATTGTATGCCATCACAGCCATTTTACTAAGACAAGTAGAAAGAACACACCGAAACACACACAGATGTAAAGTGAGTGTGTGGAGAGAGTGAGTGGATGGCAGAGAGAGGGGAATTAAATGAGCCTTGGGAAAAGATTATAAAAATATTCAGATTTTTGATTGATGTTTGGCGGCCCCTGCTGCTTTAGAGCTGCTAATGCAACTGATACAAATAAATAACTTTGGATGCATCTGTAGTTTTATCCACAAATACATAGTTAACATATTTAAGCTTAAAGTTCATTATTGACTTTATTCAACCAAAAGACAAAAAAGTACGCATAAAGTCAGTTTCAAACTCTGGATTCATTATTTTTCAGTTTTTCTTTTTTGGGCTCCATCCTCTGATGAAGGCCACAGGATGCATCTGAAAGAAGATTTAATTAATTAAGAGCAAAATGCCTCAAAAGGACTTCTTCAGAGAAGATGAGAAAATACTGAAAATTACCTTTAGTTAGTGAGATGTTTGAGATAATGAGTAAGATTGAAATTGTGAATTAGTTTGAAAATAAGAGATAAGATGATCTGTAAGATTTTCCTCTCTGGATTGTACCTTCTATATTAAAGTGCAACTTATGTAAGGGTGATGTAGAAACTTGAAGCCCCCAGTGCACATCCACTGAGAATGGACTTTACGTTGGAGACATCTTGTGTCCATCAGGAAAACTTTAGAAATAAACAACATTAGCATAGTCATAGTTTCTGGAATTTGTATTGTAGAAAAAACATCATGTCTTCATACATGTTTAGAGGGGATCTTTAAAATACAGATTGGGAAAAGATTGAAAACATATATGTACTGAAACTGATTAAATGAACAGCTATAAATCATAATAAATGTAATTTCTCTTGGTTTAAAAGTATGTTACTATTTCTGTAACTATTTTGGAACAATAAACTGTCTGTTGGGAACTTCCTCTTTGACTCAAAAAAATATTTTTTCCCTCATTCCTGCCACCACTCAGTGGAAAAAAATTTCCTTTCAAGCTCCAGAACAGAAGTTCTTTTCCTGCAGGGATGTTACTGTCTTGGTGTGACCATAGTTACAGTTGTGATGACAATTACAGTATGATCCAGTCCACTGTTGCTAAGCCATGTTCATCTGATTTAAAACAAGCTGAGGGAGACGGGTGGGGAGGGGGGCAGGACGTGGCCGGTGTCCAGGGGATTTCCTTAGCCTGTGATTGATTCCTATCTGCAGAGCTCAGAGACACATTGGCTGATGTGCTTAATGTGAAAACAAGGTGGAAAAATCAGAGACAGAAGGATATTGTTGCTTTCAAATAATGGAGAAACAGAGAGAGAATATTACCTCTGTTCATATTCTCCGCACACTCATAGGAATATTGTTACATTTCTTGGCCCTTTGTACAAAAATTAAGATTTTCATTCACTTTTTCTGTGAAGACAAAATGCTTTTTAAGACTGTAACTATTGACTGAACTTCCACCAATCTCGCACTAGATGGTAGCAATGACATTAGCCCGCACCAGTTTAACTTACTGGGTCCACATTCCCAAACGCTTGCTTTTATTTGTTGCCTTTCTGTAGTTTAAATTGAGAACATCCAAACTGGATGGTGATTCATTTCCCTCAGAGGAAACATTCAAAGTTCACAGTTGGCCTACCCCATGAAAGAATCAATATGTTGAAGCTACAGTTCTCACAGTTTGATTTGTCAACCACAGGTGTAAGTAATAACAGCTAAATGGAGCAGAGCCATTCTTTTTATTATTAGTTCCACCTGTGCTTTCCTTGATATGACGAGTCGCTATGTCTGCTGGAAATAGTCCATTCCAGTCACTGTTATCCTCTTATAAGAGAGATAATCAAGATATTGAAATAAAATTAAAGATCTTATGAATCTGTAATGTGACTGAGCTGTGTTTTGATGATTTCATTCCATTTACATGCTTTGTTTTTCTGTGCTGTGCGTCCCTGATGGAATATCTTCAGCACTGATGAACAAAAACAACCTGACAAAGAAATCAGTCAATGCACTTTCATCTATTTGAAAAAAAAGAAGAAAAACAGAAATTCTTCTTTTTTATGAATCTGAACCGTACCGAAATGATGCTGGTTAAATGACAAGCAAACAGATTCAAACTGAGTGCAGTTTAGAGGTTCAAATCCTGTCTAAATCTCCTGTGGTTTCTTTCCCTTTTTTCTGTAGTCCAACCACAAACACTTCTGTGTAACTTATCTGCCTGTGCAGGTGCAGTATGTCTATGAGTTGTCACATTACTGACATTTGAAACTGTGCCTTCTTGACCAAACCTGACCTTTTGCTGGAGCAGGTACAGGAGCTGGTTTAGGATTGAAATATAGCAAAGAATCACCAGGAGGGGTCAGCAGTGTTGCAAGGTTTACGTGCTGAATGTGACATTGCATCTATGCTTGCAGCTCTTTAACATTAATGTACAACATTCACAGTATATCAGCACTTTCACTTGTGTTTTTAATTGTCTAATATTTCTCAAACCATAACAGAACTCTTTCAAGTTTAAAATCACATCCCATGTGTTGGGAACATGTAATGGAGATTTACAGAAAATACAAATCATCAAATAAAGCAGAATTAGGAGACAGAGGCCTACATGGTAATTTATAATTAAGTGGAAAATAGCCAATGGTGTAGATAGGACTAGAGTGGCTTTCTCATTGTTATCACATTATTATTATTATTTTTATTTTTATTATTATTATTATTATTATTATTATTATTATTATGATTATGATGAGTATACATTTTGAAGGAGCTGGATCCACTGACCTGGATGCAAAACACATTGCACACTAAGTGCAAAGGAATGTATACATTTAGTGTTGGAGGTGTTCCCAGCTCACCTCTGTGCAGTTCGCACCCTTACACTGAATATTCTTTTTACATCAATAGGAAATCTATTTTAAACCAAAATATATTTAATGAACTAAATTTGTTGCAGGTTCAGCCATGAATGTGAAACAGCCCCACCACACAGCTCTTGCTAACCAAACCTTATTCAACCCAGTGGCAACTTTAAATTAGAGTGAAGCAAAACACTTATCCTCTTACCGCTACTTTCCAAAAGTACAGCAACTTTTGGGGCAGGCTTTTAGCAAACATTTGAGTGTTTGAATTCTACTTTTATTTCAGCCACTATTGTTAAAAATCTGCTGCCGCCAACAAGTTTATTTTATGTTGATAGTGTTTAAACACATCAGCATGGAGTTACAGAGGAAAGCACAAGACAGATGGACAGATAATGAAATCCAGGTGTCATCAATAGTCACACGCAAAAACGACACAAAAATGTAAAAACAGCTGTTGAGTTTTCATACTTGTTCAAAATTAATTCAAGAGTCCTTTAATATTATCAATTTATATTTTTGATGAAGTGACTAAAACACGTAAAACATGTCTCATGCTGAGAAACTTATTTATTTTAAGTGTTATTCACTAACCCTATATTACTCTCTCTTACGCACTGACATGTTAAATTGCCAGTCTATTTCCCCTGCACAGCACTCAGCAGATAATGGCAGAATGCTATCTGTACAGATAACTGCGCTGCTCCTTTGGTGTAAATTGTGAAGTGCTGTTTGCCTTGTACCGAGTCAGTCAGATACAGTACGTTCCTGCCCTAATGTCACTGAGACACATTCGTGTACACAACATCTGTCTCATCACAGCATTTATTGTACCATTAAGCAGATTTCTGACCCTTTCAGGTAAGACTGGCTTTACAAATAAATCACATTTTTCCATTTGTGCCTCAGGAGAAACACACAGTTTCATGTATGCAATCCATGTTTTTCTTTATATATATATATATATATATGTATGTATATAAAGCATAAATCTAATGTCTCTGGTGTCTGCCAAGTCACATGCTATGTCTGGCCCCTTGTATGCAGACTATTTCATTTGACCCTTGTGGCTATTCAAAACAGTGATTTTTACACTGGTGGACATGCAATCATTTTAATATGAGCTATGAAGACTCACATTATTCTTTCAGTATTTATGAAACTGCTGGTAAATATTTCCGTCACAGTCACACACTGAGAGGGAAGAGACATTAATTACATCATTTGATCCTTGTTGGACCAGATTCAAGTCCTAAATGTTCCTTATGCTCCCCATGTCTCCCCTTAGTGATTACAACCACTAAAGTTGCTCTAATATTTCTGCCCTCTAAGATCACAAACTCATGCAGGACGCACACAGTGTGAATGAGATGTTGTTAAATATTCAATTATGTGTGCATAATTTAAGAGATAATAATGGTTTTAGATGTTTTTAAGGCTTACCCAGTTCTACACACACCATGGTCATGTGGTTAATAGCTAATATGGCGTGCAGTCATTGAAATTCCACGCATGCCTCACATATTACTACATTCATCCCCTAAGGTCTCATCTTTTATGGAGTTGGCCTTTATTGAGTGGATGAATGGGCTTCATGTTGCACAAAATGCACTTCACACCTGTTTTCCTGCATTTTCAACATCTTGGTGCACAAAGGAGCAGCAGCAGTGTGCAACTCTGCACTTTCTGCCTCCCAGCTCCACCTGGGCGGTTCAGAAGAGCCTTGCTCAAGGGCACCTTGGTGGGATGTGAAGCGTTTTCTTTCTCCACTTTTTTCCACTCGTTTATTAGCTCAGACGACCGTCCACCCCTCTCCTCTCCTCTCCCCAGCCCTGCTGCTCCTAAACACCTCCCTAGTCTGGGTTGAGTCGCACTCCCCCGTCTGTCACACCAGGCTCCGAGAAATCTGACGTGTTTTTCGCATTTCCTGCACCAGAGAGAGACGGAGACAGAGAGCAGTGTCGGGGGGAGGCAGCCAGAGGTATGTGCACGGGAAGTTAAGATCAACAGCAGTGGCTGAAAGCAGGCCGTGCACCGAGCAGCTGGAACCCCTATATACTACCTTACCTACCGCCTCAATCTGCCCCCCCCCCGCCCCCTCACCCTCACCCATCCCCGACCCTGCTGCGGTGGTTACCAGCCGCCGACTGGTCGCAGCGGTCCGGCTCGAACATCCCCGATGCGCCGCGGCGGCAGCCAGCAGGCGTCTGGAGCCTCCCACCCGCCACACGGTGCACTGCAACACGGGCTTGTGCTTTCAGGGCGCCCCGCAACAGCCAACGGAGTTTATTAATACCTCGAAGGTAAAACACATGACAGACCGACTCACATCTGGGGCCTTTGCTCGCATGTTTGTCGCCAAGTCTCGCCTGTTGGTAGCTATTCATGTTTCTTCCGTGCACTTCTAAGGAAAGCTTCCCCGGGTTAACACTCGCCTCTCTGCGGCTGCAGTTGGGGTTTTTGGGGACATTTGTAGAATATTCGACAAGTGTGTACGTTTTCAGGCAAACCCAATACAGACAGAGGCTTCGTAGTTGGCGTTTCCTCCGTCATATTCAACTGGAAGGAATTACAGTGTCTGCCTGGAGGACCACCGGTTGAACAGAGCCGTTATTCAAGCCGTTACAGGAGTACATTGTTTTGAAGTGGTTCGGGGGGAAAGGTGGGGTGGTTTCATTGCCACCACGTCACACAGTTCGAGCACCAAGCGTTGGGACCTCTCCTCCACCATGGTGATCTTCAACGGGCAGCTGAGGATCAAGATCTGCGAGGCTCTGGAGCTCAAACCCACGGCTTGGTCCCTGCGTCACGCCGTCGGCCCCAAGACGCAGACCTTCCTCCTGGACACGTACATCGCCCTGAACGTGGACGACTCCCGTGTGGGCCAGACCTCCACCAAGCAGAAGACCAACAGCCCCACGTGGAACGATGAGTTCACCACGGAGGTCCACGACGGCCGCAGGATCGAGCTGTCCGTCTTCCACGACGCGCCCATCGGCTACGACGACTTCGTGGCCAACTGCATCATCCAGTTCGAGGACATCCTGCACAACGGCTGCAAGCACTTCGAGGACTGGGTAAGACCGGGATGGGACATCCTGAAGCAGTGGGGCTGCTTGTGGGAATATGAGTCTTTATTTTAAAGGTGCAATAATTAGGGTTCCAACAAGTAGTAGTATCTTCATTATGGCTTTTTTATTTTTTTTTCAATGATCCAATTCAATCTTTTAGATACAAGTTAAGAAAATTGTGAAAATTCCAACTAAGTTCACCAGACTGTCTTTAAATGGCGTGTTTTCTCTGTCCAGAGGTTCAAAACTCAAAGATATTATATTTATTAGAAATTCTCCAAATTCCCACATTTCAGTGGTCCAGAGGGGCCCTAAGGAAAAACAATGTGTTTGGGCCCCTTGCTGTTGAAGATGATGCACTTAATAGCATATAGCCTAGACTAAAATAAAGTCTTAAAACTAGAAAGGCGAGCCACAAGTTAAGCTAATAATACACGGCCCATGTAGTTAATATTGTAATTTAATGGGCACATATGTGACATCTGAGAGCCTGAGGCTTTTTTTTTGGGGGGGGGCCCTTCAGGGTCTGCAGCCCCAGGATTTAATGATTGGCATTTCATCTTGATCAACAATTTAGCACATTGTTGATTAATTGTCGTACCCATTAACTGAAGATTGTTTGAGCACAGCTCTGTGTCCTGCTTTCACAGACATACTCGAATAAAAGTAAACATGTAGCGCGAGGAACATGCGCTGTGTTTGGAGCCCCTTCCTGCTGGAGAAGAAAGATGAAAACGTTCATGTAGGAATGGTCAAAACAAGTCATTATTATGAGTTATTCCATCAGTTTGTTTGACTTACTCAGACTACAGTGTTATACCTTGTATAATTGATTTCTCACATTATTGACACCATAGATTAAAAAGAATGAAATTAGTATCTCATAATTATGCCTCAGGGAGTTGAAGATGCTTATTTAAAGCAGCATAAATTAATATTTTGACAACTCGGGAGCAGGTGAACAAGCTGTAAAGCCCTATTTTCACTCACTTCAGCTTTTTATGGTGATTATGTTAGCAAAAAGTTGTCTATTTACACATCCAGCAGACATGAAGCAACATAATCATTCATGCAAAGTCGTGTTTCTGGCCAAGTCCATTATTCATTCTCTCTGGTGCTCATTTTTTTTTTTGTAAAAAAGAGGGAAATCTCTGGCTCTTTAGCTGCTAAATATTCCACTATATTCAGCAGTTGTGGGCTGTGAAACCAAAACAATGAGCTCAAGAGACTCTGCAAGGCTCCATCACGTTGGTCTGTGGAGAGTTGTACGTGTGAGAGCTTCTCCAACCATGGTAGCTTTCAGTCTTTCACCACACATAAAGATAGGCATTCATACGGCAATTTGAAATAAAAACAGACTTCAGCTTCATTAAACTCTGAAAAGCAATGTTATTTAATATTTACACATTTCTGCAAAACAGTGTTGTCCTGGAAAGTGTTGCAGATGTACAACATGAGTCACTGTACACACACACACACACACACACACACACACACACACACACACACGAGTATAGATCCTGTTACCTTTGTTGTGCTCTTGTTAGATGAATCGGTGACCCACAGCAGAGCTACAAAAGAGGAGAGAGTGGGTGTGGTTGGGCCACATGCATGATACACACACACACACACACACACACACACACACACACACACACACACGCACACGCACAGCACTATGAAGAAGCTGTTTATTGTTGTCAGAAGCTGCTGAAGCAGACGGATGTTTGAGTGTATTATTGATGAGGCCATCAGGTCCATTAGAGAGAGAGAGCGAGAGAGAGAGAGAGCGCACAAGATGAAAGAGAGGAAGATGATGAAACTGGAGGAGGACAGGTTGGAGAAAAGAACATACAGCACCAAGCATATAGCTCATGGTGGAAATCTTTCAGTACAGTACACTGGGAGGAGCGGAGTGAGGTTTCATGTTCTGACAGTAAAGATTCAGTTTAATAATAACTTGTGTGTGTTAGGTCTTATCTCGGGACTACTAGTATACTATAACAAAGTGTCAAGTTATCACCAGCCAAGCTTCCTTGACATTACAGTACATTTTAAGCCTTAAATATTTACCTGGATTTTTAAAGACATTTAACTGTTTTAAATATCATAAAACTGGTGTCACTATCTAATCTGTTTTCATTCACTAGAATTAAATGATTCTTTTGATCAGTCTCCTCAGTGCTTTGCACCTTTTGTGTTTCTGAAGGAGCACGTTTCAAGGCGCACCCATGGGCACTCCAGGTTGAACATGTCTCGACTTAAGCTGCATGATACATTATGTCATCTCAGACAAAGAAAAACTTGACATCACCTTGAGGGAACAAAACAGCCTGTATAGTTTCCCAGTGAGTAATGCTAATGTAAGATACTGAGAAAAGTCTGTCATACAAGGGTTTTCAGCCTCTTTACAGAGGGTCTTATACGTTTCCAAAGCCTTAAACCCAGTGCCCGGTGAACTGATCCAGGACATGCCTGACCAGATGAGTTTTCAGTGTGCGATGGAAGATGTGTAGGGTTTCTGCTATCTTGATGTCAGTGGGGAGCTCATTCCATTTAGGGTCCAGGACGGCAAACCATCGTCATTGTCTTGAGCAATAGCTGAGTTCCCCTCACAGTGAAGGAGTAGTAAGCTGATTGGCAGTAGCATAGCGTAGTGGATGGGTTGGGGTGTATGGTTTGACCACATCCTGGGTGCCTGGGCCTTTCGCAGCACGGTAGTTGTCTCGAATTGGTTTCGAGCAACCACCGGTAGCCAGTGCGTTGCGTTGTAGTGTGGGAGAACTAAAGTAGGTTGAGGTCAGCCGGGCTGCTGCATTCTGGATGAGCCGCTGAGTTTCAGTGGCACATGCAGGCACCTGATGTTGTGGAGTATGAATCTGCAGGAGTGGGTCGTTCCAACGATGTACTGCTTCTTTATCTACTCGACTGACGCTCGGACTGAGTTCAGAAGTTTGATGTGTTATTGTGATGGTAACAGGTTGGGACAAAGAGGAAATCTGTGAGAGGAAAAAAGCATGTGATTGAAAAACCATCAACATGTGCTGTAGGATAGAAAATCCTTTCCAGTGATTTGCACCTGATTTCTCTGCTACCACTGTTGCCCATAGCCTTGATTCTGAGCATAAAGGGAGACAGTCATGTGTAATGATGGCCTTCAGGATAACAAATTACCTCCTCACCTTTGTCTTGACTGAGATTTTCTGCACACTGAGGATGGTATTTGCCGGAGTTGTGCTTGTTATTCTTTTGAATTCTAAATGAATGAAGATGCAGCAAATGCGAAGTGAAAGGTTTTAACACTTTAGTGCAAACAACTTTTTACTTATTTTCCTGCAAAATTCAACAGTTAAACAAGGATGAGTGCAGTGATAGTTCACGATATGGTATATGACCCGTGACAGAGTTCATGTTTCAGTAACATACCTAGCACAGCTATTTACTGTATCCATGTGCAAGGATTTTAAACCCCAAGATTATTCTGTAAATGACCTTCAATCCCCATAATTGATATTGTATGTTAGTAGTACGTCCATCTTACAACTGTCTTCTGAGCTATTGCTGTACAATTTAATCTGTATTGGCTCGTGCTGTGTTGATTTTGCCCACACACGTAGCATTTCAGAATAAGTTATCTAGTTTTAATGCTGTATCCATGGATAGTTGGCTTTGCTACTCACAGTTTGGACTTCCCCTTAAGTCTGATGCAGGTTGAAAGACAATATATGAGTTAAATTAGACAAAGGAAAACAGGAATGCATAAGAGAGATATGGTAAGAACTGGACCACACAGTGTTGCATGGATCTGGTCTATGGACTTTCTTCCTTTCATCCTCTGACCTTGCCTTAGCAAAAATTGTACTGGTTTGGTAGGATGTGGTCTTAAACGTCTCCAGCTCTTTCTGGTCCAGAGTCAACTAAAAAGGCTGTTTTTGTTAAGTTATTCTTTCCAAATATAAAGCTTATTCCACTTAGATGTACAGGGAGACAATCAATCTTCTGTTCAGTCAGTTCAGGATGTTGGCTCTTACAGAAATCCCTTTTTAAATGAGAATATCTCACCGTAAAACGATCATATATCCATGATGATATTACGAAAGGAGCTGCCAGACTTTAATACTGTGAATGGAATATTAGACCTCAACTAAATTTTACCATTAGGTTAATAGAGAATCCCTCGGCCCAAAACCAGATTGTAAAACAGTGCTTCTGAATACAAGGCTTGATTTGTTTGTTATTTTTGGGCTCTAGCTGAGTTGCAGAGTTGTGTCTGATAAGTTCCCATACAAAAGAATTCAATTTTTTTCATCCTTGCAGATATGAAGGACTTAAAGGAATATGTCGTCTGTTTAAGAGATTGATCATCAAGTTGCATACAAAGTCACAAAAACATGGACCACAAATCATAATGTGTACGTTGTTTACTTCAGTGCTTCATGGCATAGTGTTGTGATGTTAAAGAGGCAGTATCTAAATAAAGACTTATGGTGTTTCAGTGTAATAAAAATACATTATGTTCAGTGCAGCCATGGTTTACTTTTGGAACTTTTTCAGGTGAGCTTTACACAGTGTTGTTCTTCCCACCTGTCTTTCAGGATCAGAGATTTTCCCACGAGGAAAGTAACGGTTAGTCAGCACATTGTTATTGTATCATATTTCATTCATGTATGCTTTCCTGTCTTTCTGGATCAACATGGTTGTCATCGTTCAATGTGTGAATAACCAAAGGGGCTTTAAACTCTTTGTGATGAAATAAATAGTCAAGTATATCATAGTCATTTGGAAGATGGTTTCAATAAGTGCACTTGAAAGGAACAACATAAAGTATGTTCAGAGTTTTTAGTCAAAGAACATAAAATGAAAGTCCCTGTCCACTTTAAAATCAGTTCTTTTTCTTGTTCCTACAGTGTGATGTTTGAGCTTCACTGAGCAGAATTCTGTATGTGCAGTGTTTGACACTAGAAGGATGTTTTCCCATTCATTCAAGTGGAAAGTTTCTTTGTGCT